TTTCCAAGATATTCTGTTACTTAAAAAGTTAATGTTGTGTCTGATGTTACCAGTTACTCTCTGCACAACACCTGTTTCTGTTTCTTCAGTATTTTCTTTATTGCAGTCATTTTCCATAATATACAACACAAAAAAAAAAATTGGGAAAGTCGAAGAAACTGAAAGAGTCAAGGTTCAACAATACGACTCCACATTTAAAGAGCTAATCCCTGCATTCACCAAAATAATACAAGTTTTTAATGAAAAACTGAAACTAACATCCACCATCCTAGGTGTCCAGAAAAACATAAAAAGTAAAAGTCCTTCAATTAACCCTAACCCTTCATCTGTCTGAAAAAACTAAAATGGATACCATCCATAATAATAAAAACAAAAAAAAGTAACCAACCTCTCAACAACCCGGTCTTGATGTAATGTGTATGCAACTACAGCTGCAGACACAGGTGTTGTGTGAATGGCAACGACCGGGCATTAATCTGTAACCAAGAGTCTGGTATTAAAGTTCAGACTTAGGCTGAATCGTGTTCGAGATCCTCATGTGAGTGTGTGTGTGGGGGGTGAAAACACAAACACTTGTAGAGCTGCAGCGATCAGGCCATCACACGTCAGGTGATTAGAGGTGATTAGAGCTCACACCTCCAGGCACCACCACAACTTTGTAACTTCAGCCTAATCCAACGCACACAGACACATATACAAACATGCAATAACCAAAGAAGTAAAACAAAATGATAACAATAGGGACACATTCCACTGGTGAAAGATTTATGTGTTAAGGGGAGTTAAGTTAAGAGGATTAAGTCAGCTATTAGACAGATTACATCAAGTCTATTATGGGACCTACAGAAATCATAAATATGTCAGAGATGGCCGAATTTCCACAATCAGACGTGAGTCAAACTGTTTCCTTGAAAAGAGAGAGTTGTCTATTCATTCCAAATGGTTAGAGGGAAGCAAAAAAAAGCAAAAAAAGGTCCTGGTGGTGTTAAAGTAGTGATGGAGGAGGGCAAAACAACATCAACAACCAAATGGGCTTCTCCACCCCACACCTGTCCCCTCTTAAAGTCTGACTGGGTGGGAACAGCAGCTCCCAGAAGCCCCTTCTCCCTTCCACTGCTCCACTGGCCGGGCCCTATAGCTGTCGCTCCTGATTTGTGCATTTCTGCGTATTACATGTGATAAGTCAGCCTATTCTGGAGCACGAGTGCATGGGGAGAAATGTGTAGGGGTCAGTGCACCTCACACACCCTTCTGCGCTCCATCAAACGCCCAGCGTGGAGCCTCCCTGTATTCTCAGACAGCCTACTCAACCCACAGGGATGGGGGGTCCAGGGGAGTGAGCGGCTCTGTAGGTGGGGGTCACTCCACCACATAAAGGGGTTGAAAGTGGGGTAGACTTGTTGGAAGACTTGCTTTCAGTGAAATTAACTCTTCACTTCCCCTCCTTTTTCTTCCCCCTCCCCTCTCTTAGTTAGGATTTTAACTGCAGAATCCATCTGTCATCACACACATAGTTACAGCATGATTAATACTGCCGGAGAAATTGTTCTGTCAGCACCTCGATCTTTCTGTAAAACCACGTTTGTTGCAACTGGAATGAGAAATAGTCTCATTAGACATGCAAGCACCAGAACACAATTCAAAAAGCTTTAAAGGGCCACTTCACCAATGTTGCACATAAAGGTTCAGTTTATATATCATATAGAGTACTACTTGACTTGGGAAATAGAAGCTCATAATGTCATCTGGGTTTACTTGGCTTTGAACAGAAAGCCTGGATTTAACAGTTTAACAGTCTCTGTGTCGACACCACAGGCAGGCCGTCGCGCACTGCTCTCACAGGCTGTGTGTCCCATGCGTAAGCTGTGAGGAGATTCTGGTATTGTGACACAGTCAGAAATTTCCCCAGTGTCACACTTTGAAGTTAGCTAGCTAGCATGCTTAATGGGTCAAAAAACATGGGAAGCCTGACAAAGTTCTTTAGTGTATGCGCCCAGAGAGCAACTTCATACATCCATGGTTCCAGCTCTCTAACTTTTCTTTACTTTCTGCATGTGAGTGCAACTGGCCACACCCCCTCTGTTCTCTGATCATTAACACTATAAAACCCTCTGCTCACTGCTCCTTTTTTGACAACTCGCTATACAATGTTTGCAAAAGATGGTGAATGCACAAACTAAAAAATTCAAGGTCCTTCCAGCACAACCTGTGTTTTAGTAGCAAACTGCAGTGCTGTATTGGAGGATATCACAGAAACTAATTAAATGTTTGATAGAGTGCTGCTACAAAAACAGATCATCACAATGCACACCTGAGACAACATACTGCATCATTTTAATCTTGAATAAAATGTGTGTAAAATATATTTTGCTCCACATAAACTGAACAAAAACAAATTATTACATATTATGTATTTCAACAAATTAAGTACATCTGCACTTGTCATGGTGGCACAGGTAAAGATAACCTGTCTGCTGGCACTGTATTTTCATTCAATGTGCTCCACTTCTGGCTTTGACCTCTTAGTCGAGTTGGCGGTAAGTTTTGATTTGGGAGAGAGTGGGTGGGAGGTGTGGGGAGTAGTTAAGCTGCAAGATTATTTTCAATTTGTTTTGCAGACTCTGTATCCCCCACATTCTGCCCTCCAGCAGTCAGAGATCAATTAATGCAGCCTGGTTGTTTGTAATAATCTGTCTCCATTTCATAAGGCAAACATTTTCTTATGAAATAGAGACCATACAATAATACTAGCAGTAGTGTTACAATGCACCGTGAAAATGAGCCACGTTTTTTATTTCAGAAAAGGACTTTAAAGGAGCAAACACACCTTTCATCACACAGCAAGAGGAGTGCGATGGATGACTGTGAAAAATCACTGCTAACCTGTGAAACAAAAAGCCATGGCAGAACACAGATGATGAAATTACTTCAGGCAAAGATGGAATGCATATCATGAGCGATGTTCCAGCCGGGGCTAAACTGACCCTCAGCTCTGTGAAATTAGGAGGATTTTCAGCAGCTCAGTGTTAAAACTGCTGTCATAGAATCCTGGAAAGCAGTTTATTACCGTGGCAACACAGCTGTCTGCCCCAGATGGTCCAACTGGGGTGCAAGAGTCGAGAAAGCGTGACACTGTCTTCATCATCCATCTACACAAAGAATTGCGTCCTCTTGTTGTTAAGATATAAGAAGCACTGATATCTTTTGCACCATGCAGCATAGTTAGCACGGAAACTTTTATTTGGTTACCACCATTGTCAGTCTGTCAGCTTAATGGATTAACCATTTAGTCCTACGAGATAGTGAAAACTGCCCATCATAATTTATTCAGATTGCTTGTTTTTGTCCAACCAAGACTCAAAGATATTCAATTCACATAGATATAGAAACAAGTCCACACATGTGAGAAGGTGGAGCCAGCAAATGTTTCGCATTTTTGCTTAAAAACGACTTGATGATTAATTAGTTATCAGAATTGTTCAAATATTCCATTGGGAGTAATGATTATTTGACTAACTGTTTCAACACTATGCTGAACAATAGCCTCTGTGCATTTTCAAGTCCCCATTATAAATTGCTTCGTGAAAATAGTCAAACAATAAGCTGACCTATGTACTGGTTATTTTTTTTTAAAGGAACACAATGGGGAAAGGAGTAAAATTCTGAGTCAGCATTCACACCCAAAACATTTCATCTAGCCTAGTTAATAATTAAGCATGAGACTTCAATCTAAATCTTCACACCCACGTTCACACAATATCCATATCCACCACTGTTACATATAATAGCAGTATACTGTGAGATACACTGTGAGATCCCTGCAAATCCCCAGCAGAGTCTCAGCCCTCAGGTCAGAGAAAGACCCTGATGAATATTCAAGATTCACACAATAGCAGGGCCAAATCACTCTGCTGAGATTGACGCTTTGAAGTTTCAAAGAATGCTGAAGGGGAAGAAAAACGTCATTCATAAGGAGTGAAAAGGCTGTCACAGCAAGATTCGCCCTCTTTTCCCTCCCTCTGTCTGTCACGCTGTCTCATTCTCTCACTCAGCCTGTCTCACTGTCTCTTTCTCTCATGATGTGACAACGTAGCAAGAGTTTTAAAAACACCAAACCACGATCAGTTCTGTTGATTAATTTTTTTTCCTGTCAATATTCATGTTGTTAGCCAGTATAGATTCTGGAAAAATGCAGGACAACCAGGATGCCTGTCAGTTTTGAGAGAATTATGTAATGATTGCACATGACTCAGCTTGAGTTTTAAAAAGAAAATGAATCGCTGACATACAAATATATTGTGTATTCAGGATCTAACCTATGTGACTGAAGAAAGCAATGCT